TTCCCACGGCTGCGGTCAACACTGCTCCGTTATTAGTGCCTGCAGCATGTTTCCTCACGTCACAGTCCAGGTACGTTTGTCGAAGGTCTGTACACAGAGTGTTTTATTCCTGCCTGTTGACTTAAGGAAACAGCTCTATACTAGTTAACTGTAAATCCAAACATCCGCATTGAGATTACTGTCCTTTTGTTTTGGACTCTCTACCAATACGAACATATGAAGGTCCTAAAGATAACGGATTCCACTTCCAACTGCTACAGACAAGTTTGAAAGGAAGAACCTGCTTACTCATTTGCAGAGATGAGAAAATAAGCTCATCACACTGTGTTCTGCCTTGAGAATTAAAGTCTGACCATTCAAATGCCAGACAGATAGAGAGGAAAGATGCTCTGCATCTGAAACACACATGCTTCAGGGAAAGCTATCCACAACATACAGACGGTCTGGATCTGGACTTCCAACTGTTAGACCTGGGGCTCTGTTTCAAGGATTAAAGATAAGCCAGTGTTTGGGATGGAGCTCATCTCCAACAAATGAAATCAGCTCCATTTGGATAACAAGAATGTGAAGATTATCCCAAGGGTCTTTGGAAATGGGCAGAAGTCTGCTGCCACAAGTGCCATTTTCCTCTCACAGGCATTTTTATCCTTTAATTACTCCCAAACTTCACCCTTGGAGCTCATTACTCTCACTTGGGGCAGCCAGCTCAGCTGTGGCTTTCCTCCTGAAAGCCTGAAATCTTCAGCTTATCCATCTGCACGGCTCACCCACAAACGTGTGTCTCTCTCCCCATTTCAACCCTGTATCTACAGCCTGGCCTCTTGTGCTACCCAGGGACAAGCTTTGCTGCTTTTTCTCCCAGGATCTTATTCCCCTTGCCTTACGTCCCCACCCTAAAATTAACTCTAATCTCTCTCCTCTGCTCACAGTATTTCAAGTAATTCATGCTGAGAAAGAGACAAAGTGAAGGAAACTTTTACAATGCAGGAGTAGCCCAGCACTAAGTGAAGAAAGGGAGAAAGAAAAGAGAGACTTGCTCTGAAATCTCCCTTTTTTCTTTCTCCTGCTTCTTTTTTCTCTGGAGCTTGCATAAATCCCCTATCTGCTTCAGCAGGGAACAAAGTGACTCCAAAGACTGAAGCCTACACAGTACCCAGGGAATAAGCTAAAAATAATCTCTTTTCTGTTCCAAGTTTTATGGAATGTAGAAAAATTGATCTCTCTTTTCTTGGGATGGGAGAGGGGAAAAGCATTTCTTCTAAAATCTGTAAAGTAACAGAAGAAGTCCATCTTCTCTGCTGGCTTCTGTTCTTACCTGCATCTGCCTCTCTCAACAACCTTAGCTTTAACATACTAAACCCCTGCCTTATGTCAGAAAGGAGGCTGGGCCAGCTGGCACCCTGCTCTGACTTCTTACAGTTCATTAAGGAACGTCCCACGACAGTCGAGGAGATGCAGTAAGGCACATGTGCAGTCCCCTGGATCTCACACAAGGCCAACAGGCAAGCTGAGCTAGCCAACAGCCCCAAAAGCCTGGTTTAGGAGCAGCTCCTGCTCACATAAGGTCGCCCCATCCGGTTCACTCTGCCGGAAGCTTTCGAGCAGTGACACCTCACTAAAAAGCAGGAAAAATGGGTTGTATTCAAGAAACCAAAGCAGAAACTATGAGCAAGTTAAACTAAATTCCAGCCCATTCTTGGACCTTCTTTAAGGTCAAAAATCTTTTTACTGTGAGCCAGTTTTTGAGTAAGTGACCCAAAGGCTTTGAGAGAATGGGCTGGATAGAAACTTTGGTACTCATGTATTTTTAGAGCAGTAAAAATAATCTCCATGGAAAATAGTGGCTTTACAAGCCTGGATGCAGAAGCCTTTCTTTTGCCCACAGACCAAGATAAAATTAAACAGTGAACCACATGGTGGTCAGGCCTGTATCAAGTGAATAAATCTCAGTGCCTCACTCAGCTATAGAGGTGACAGTCACACTTCAGACTAATCTATTTCCCTTATCAGATCCCAGTAATTTTTTTCCATGCATTCATTCCTAACACTTTCTTATCGGCAGAAGCTTCAATCTTGGCTGACGGAGTGATTAGAACAGACACAATTTATCCTGAGATGATATTCTTATCTGAAAGGTTTAATTAAGATTGATCAGTTTGCATGGTTCCCCTGCTAACATCTGGATCCTTCATACTCCTGTTACTAACATCTCATTTTCCAACACAAAATTACCAATTGATTTAGAATGACAACAGCAACAATAAAGTACTTCATAAGCTCAACCAGCAGCAGGAGAGTGGCTAAATTGCATGTAAGTTTGTATACGTTTGACAAAACCACAAGATCAAAGCTAGCGTTTGTTGGGAACAGCATTTTACTGAAGGCTATGAGTCTGACAAAATGAATTTGCTCCACCATTAACCCTAAAAGTCCAATGTCATTTTAGAGTGACCTCTTCAATGTTAGTACACAGGTATCCAAGAACAGGCTATAGCACTAGCGAGGTACTGCTCAGTCCTGTCTGCTCTGGCAGGGTAAAGGAACTTCAACCATGACTCTTTTCCGATCATCAGATTAATACAACAAATACCAACTAGTAGAGCCACAGTCTACTCATTCAAAATAGGAGGGGTGTGCACTGCACTAATGCACTGAAAGGACCAACAGGTCTTTAAATCACTCCTTTAGTCTATTCCTGCT